TAGAAACATAGAAATTAGCAGCAGGATTATGCCACGTGGCCCTTCAAACCTGTTCCAGCAGTCAATAAGATCATTGTGATCTCAACTGCAGCATCCTATCTTCTATCCCCAACTCCTGAGTTACTTGTCTATCAAAATTCTATCTACCCAGCCTCCCCTATCTTGAATAAAATCAACAGCCTTTAGTTCTTTTTTGGAGAGATTAATTCCATGGATTCGTGTGTGTGACTTTCTGAGAAACAAAAATTCTCCTCTTCTCCATCTTAAAAAGGAAGCATTTTATTTTTAAACTGTGTTCCCTAATATTAATCTTTTCTACAAGAGGAAATATTCTCTCAGTATCCATGCTATCAAGTTTCCTCAGGTTCTTATGTTCCAATGACATCATTTCTGATTCTTTTAAACGCCAATTGTTGTAGGCCCATTCTGTTCAATATTTCTTTATTAGATAAGACCTTCATCCCAGGAATGAGTTGAGAGATTCTTCTCTGAACTGCTTCAAACACAATTATATCCTTTATTGAATAAGGAGATGCACAGTGTTACATCTCATTGGGGTAGCATGCTGGAAATTAGGCCCACTTTGTTTTTCCTAGGATCGTCACAAAAGTTAAAAATGTTATGAAAATATGCAAAAGTCCTCATTTATCTGCCTTTTAAACTGAGGATGACAGGAAGCACAGTCTGAATTTCTGTACTAAACAAGAATTACTATTCTTTAGAAAATCAATAGATTCTAGCCACGGGTAAACAATTGTGAACCATTGGCATCTAATTCACTAGTTAATACTCTAACCCACTTCTAAAATTCCCTGTACACACCTTATACTGACAGACACAATAAAATGGGTGTTATGGGCAGAAGGAAAACTGAGAAAGTAGTTCAGTGGTCCTGTCCATATGCTTCACTGAGATGATCTTTTTGACTTGTCAGGACTTACTGTTCTTCATCTCTCTTCTCCAGGTTCTTTCATTTGCAGGAGGCAAAAGGTAACTGGTTCAGACTTACAAAGTCTCAGACTTATTGTTTCAAAGGTACAGACCTTGAGCAACCGATGAGGGGGAATAATGTGGCTTTCTTTAGGTTTGAGGTGTTCTTTTACTCCAGAGGATCAGAAGAACAGCAACAGACAACACAATCTTTTGGAATCTCATTCTAGGTTTCAAGAAATGGTGTCTATCCTCCTGATTATACTGCTCCCCCCTCACCATGCCACAACATTCCTATTTATTCCTTCCACTTGAATGGCTTCCTATACCTCACTGTACAGCACTAACTAACTCTGTGCCTGTATAGAAATTGGTAAATCACACTGAACCTGTATAGAATTTTGATAAATCACATTGTGCCAGTTCAACTGATAAGTTAGTCACACTGTGCCAATATGAGGCATTGGAAAATCACATTGTGCCTGTACTGGAGATTGGTAAATCACACTCTGTATACCCCTGCCCTCCTGTAATGGAGTCACAGCCTCACACTTGTACAGGTTAGACTAGTAATCTCAGATTTGTCTTTCATTCATTGGAGACAGGCTTATCCCAGCATTCCTAGTGGCCGTGAAAGGCTTCTATTAAAACTGCAGGATGTACAGTTTTAATATAAGGCTTTCACTTACAGTTATGAATGCTGGGATAGCACTCACATCAGTAAATCCTATAAACCTAGGATCTGTGAAAGAAACTAAAACAGAGAGATATGGAGGCAGACACATAAAAGATAAGGGGAAATACAGAGAAAAGGAAAAATAAAGGTGCCTCTTAATTGTTGCCACTTTTATAAAGGTTTCAGTTTATATAATTTGGTGTACTTTGGGTATATAGTTTGAGTAAAAATCTGACTACACTGAATCCTACCAGAACCCACACCTCCAAACAAATGTTGTAAGTGCACTTCTCACTGTTCAACATACACTGCCATCAGTAATATGATGCCACCAGCAGTATAATGTCTTTAGTAAAATGGGTCTGCTTTGTGACACCTCACTGTCCAGATCAAAGAATGGAAGTAATGGTTCAGCTTAGGACTGGAAAGCAATTTGGTTTGTAGGGGCACATGGGTAAGCAATCACATGCCATCCAACGATGCTCCCCAATGCATTTTTTTTAAAGCGTTCTATCGTTGAATTATTTTGAATAATCAACCGGGGAGGTAAGTTACACACTTAATAAGCACAGCTCCAAGATCCTCCTGTTTGCCTGTAGTTATACTGTGCAGATGCAAAGTAGATGCTTTCTAAATTACTTGTCAAAGGCATCTTGAAAAGCAGACATTTTGTGCATAGTCCAGTAATGACATCAGCAGTGAGAAAAAGAGGGTTATGGTCAGCACACTCAATTCCTGCCGCCACTGAACAGCAAATTCTCCACAAAATGTCTCCTCCCAGCTGCCTCTCGAACCAGCATTTTGAAAGCCCAGAAACAAGGGGGAGGGGAGTGCTAAAGCACATAGCCCATCGCGTGGTAGGACATGTTTCTGATAAACGATTACATTTGCTTTTTATGCGGAGGGAGCACAAAACCAAAAAAAAATTCTTAAAAGCGCAGTTTTTAAAAAAAAATGAAAGTGACCCTACAGTGAAGGAGTCCATATTAATGCATTCGGAAGCCTTAAATTCGCTGCAATTAAAAGAAGCATGGGACGGACAAAAACTTGCAACTGGGACTGATGCCGGGTCAATGCAAGGAAGAAACGGGGTGATGGATGGAGAAAGGAATGAAATGTGATTTTGTTTTAATCGATGCGCGGTGCGTTAAACAACATGAACAGTAGAAGCCTCAATCTAAAATATTCGGTAACCGCCTAACCCTATTCGTTATCCACCCCCCGCCTTGCTTCAAATGTAATCGCCTCACTACCATATTTGGACAGCGTGCTACCAAAATGACCTTGGATTGTTGCTGCAGACCTTTTGGGGAGGGGTGGGATTCTATTGCAGACACAAAATAAAATATATTATGTATAAAGGAGCAGAACTCAAGACCAAGTTAACTTTTTATTGGAGTAAACAATAGAAAGTTTTGACCAGAAGTTGGGGGGGAGAAAATCAGTCGCATACATTTAAACGTGAGGGGTGGATTACAGCACAAGCCGGTGCATCGTTCTTTGTTTTAAAAACACGGGGCATTCCGGTGCACAGTTATATTTAGTTAAAAGTGGGGTCAGAAAGGAGAGGAAAGAAAATTGCATTTAATGCAATGCAGCGGTGGAGGCCGATGTTTTGCATTTTTTTTTTAAAAATTAAAATTTTAAATTTAAAATGGTTCTTCTCTTTTATTCGGTTACCGGGGATGAAGGAGGAGGGTTGTCAGTTTCTTTTTTTAAAAAAAAAGAGGCACAATAGGAGTTGTACCGGCTGCAAATATGGAAAGCGGGCGTCTGGTGAAAACGCGCCCGAGAGAGGGAGCGAAGGCGCGGGCGCCATCCAGTAAGTGGCGGCCCCAGGGCCGTTCGGCCGGCGCCCGTCTGCTATCCTGGTCCTGTCGCCCTCGCGCCGCCTCAGCGCCCCGGGAGCTCTCAGCCCACTCCGGTCATGTGACGGTGAACGTAACGGAACGTGCAGCAACCGTTTGGCAGTTTGGTTCGAGGGGAGGGGGAAGGCGGCGGCGGCGCGGCGCGGAGCTTCGGTCGGTCTCTCTCTCTGTGTGTGTGTGTGTGTGTCTCTGGGCTGCGCAACAGCGAAGAAAACCCGAGCGGGGGAGGGGAGAAAAAAAAAACAAAAACCGGAGTCTTTTTTTTTTTTACACACGTGTACACACACACACACAAACCATCACCCCCCTCTTTCCTCCACCACCCGACACCGGAGCTGGAGGAAGCAGGTCGGTAAACCGGGAGAGTTGGTGGGGGGGGATGGGAATGTGAGGGAAGGAGGGGGGAGGGAGAGAGGGAGGAGTAGGAGGGGGTGGTGGCTGAAGGGAAGGGGTGGTGCCCGGGCTCGGCGCCTCCTCGCACGGCCGGCGTGTTGCTCCGCTACAGGCCTCACCATTCGGGAGGTTAAACGGTGCACACGACCGAGAGGCGGAGAGGAAAAAGAGAGGGTTTTGGGGGGGGAGTCGGTGGAATGTGATTTTTTGGTTTAAAATTTGAATATCTCGGTGTCTGTCACTCTTGCTCTCTCTTTGTCCCTCCCTCTTTTCCTCCCTTTTTGCCCGCCGTGCCCTCCCTTTCCCCAGTGCGGAAGTGGCGGCCTCTGTGTGCGTGTGTGAGAGAGAGGCGCGCTCCTCATCCGGTCACACGAGGAGAGAAGCCATTAGCGCCACCGCAGACAGCGGGCCCGGGAATCCGGGCGAACCGCTCCAATGTCGAGGGGAGCGCGGTAACCCCGACACCCGGCTGCGAGCCGGAGACTAAATCAGGCGTCTGTCCTTTCGCTCCCCGAGCCTTCGCCCGCGCCGCCCCCTCGCCCTTGTCTTCTTCCCCCACCTTTGCCCTTGTCGTTGGCGTCTCCTTCTTCACCCCCCCCTT